TAAAGGAAAACTGTAAACGGCTATTTTATTGTTGAGATCGCGAGGTGAAAAAAAAGAAACAAAAAAACAAGGCCATTCAAACAATAACGAATATATGTTAATTGAAGAAAAACAGAAACCTCTCAAATGAGTTACTTTTAAATAGAAAAAACTAACACTTCTGACAGAATAAGAATAGGTAATTATAAATTTTTCCATTTAGGTAATAAAAATTGTTTGACTAACATTAATAAAAGACTGATAAAATTTTATCAAAGTTTTATAAAAACAAATAATTTACTAATCAAAATTAATTTTTTTTAATATTAACTACTGTACTACTAGTATTATTATACTACTAGTCATACTACTACTACAGTACTAGTATTATTATACCACTAGTCGTACTACTACACTACTAGCTGTATTACTATAATACTATTATTGTTGTACTACTAGTGATACTACTACTCATAATTTTGTCCTAACACTACACTACTAGTAGTATCACTGAGTTATTAATTTAATAGAAAATAAATCACTACTAGTAATTATACTATTAATAATTTATTTACTACTAATAATTAATTTACTACAAAAAATTACTACTAATAATTAATTTACTACTGAAAATTAATGTACTAACAATTAATTTACTAATTAAATATTAAAATTATTCCACTAATAGTAGTTGATCTTAATCATAATCAAAATCTAATAAAAATTATACTCGATTTACAACATTGTAGTCCTATTTTAATCTTCATTTCTTGGTAATGTTGCCTAATTAACGATAGTAAATTTTCCTTAACAAAAATCTACAAATTGATATAAAATGTCACAATTACCTAAATTACAATCAAATGCTCCCGTATTGATTATCGATATTTTTTTTAATTTGGATCTTGCCTTATCGAAAATGGCTTGATGCACTTTGATCATAAACAGGTGACTTTATTTATATCTACTCTCATTATTCTATCAATAAAAATATATATTTATTTCTCTTTAAATATCCAATTAATTTTACCGTCTTTCAGTGTTGACACAGTTAATAGTATTTTATAATTAAAAAATAAAAAAGATATTTTTGAAAGCTTTTTCTTTTAATTTCAACTAGTAATACCAGTAAAAGTTATTATTAGTAACGACTATAAATAGTAGAAGTTACTATTAGTACATGCTACTAGTAGTTAGAATTACTACTAATAAACGCTACTCATAATAAAAAATACTAGTGGCTTCTAATAATAGTAATTTATACTATTTGTGAAATAGTTTATTAATAGTAACTGATATTAGTAGCGTTTACTAAAAAATTACTGTTAATAAATTAATACTGTTTAATAATAAATTAATAGTTAGTACAAATAGACGCTAATAGTAGTAAAAATCACTATTAGAAAACGCTACTAATATTAAGAGTCAGTACAAATTAACGATCCTAATAGTAAAAATTACTATTACTAAGAGCTACTTATAGTAACAATTACTATTTGCAAAAGTTATTAATAGTAAAAATTACTATTAGGCAACGCTAATAGTAAACGTTAATAGCAAAAGCGTTAATTAATAGAGTCACTACTAATAAACGCTCTTAATAGTACAAATCACTATTACCAGGAGCTACTAATAATAAAAATTGTTATTAGTAGAACCTATTAAGTAAACTAGAACAATTCCAAATAATATCTGGGTCATCAAAATTAATTTAATTGACAAGTTATAAAAAGTAACCACAGCCAATAATCATCAGAAGATAAAAAATTATTTTTTGAGCGAACTCTCCTTACTAATAATTGAGAGTACAATAAATTTTTTACTGGTCCCAAACTATTCCTAGAACAATTCCAATTAATATCCTGGTCATAAAAATTAATTATATTCACAATTCATAAAAAGTAACCACAGCCGATAATCAGCAGAAGATGATAAATTATTTTTTAAAGAACTTTATCTTCTGCTTACCAACAATTGTGAGTACACAAAATTTTTTACTGGTCCCAAACTATTGCTAGAATAAATCCAATTAATATACGGGTCATAAAAAATAATTTAATTCACAATTCATAAAAAGTAACCACAGCCGATAAAATTTGATAAAATTTGTTCTCCATTTTGAAGTTTTCATTAAATTTTTATTTGAAAGAAATGAAAAAAATAGTTGCAACATTTAGAAAATAAACATACAGTCTAAATAATCAGTCTATCGTCTAAAATCAATTTCTACCCCCCCCCCCCTCTCTCTCTCTCTCTCTCTCTCTCTCTCTCTCTCTCTCTCTCTTTCTCTTTCTGATTAAATTTACAATTTTCCCCAGAAACTCAAATTAAATTTCTATAATTAAACACAATTTGTAATTGGACTTTCCTCAACTGACGAGTTTATAATTAAATAATTAGAATGAAAAGAAAAAAAAAGTTGCATTCAAAGGAAAATAGAAAAAGAAAGTTTTTGATATGTAATTATATCTATATATATATATGAGGTATGTGTAAACGATCCTTGTGTATATATGTACATGTGTATGTGTATGTGTATATGTCAATATGTGACTATGTGTATATGTATATTTGTATAAATGTGTATGTGTATATGTGTATGTATGTATATTACGATAAAGGAATATCTTTGAACCTCGAAAATTTGTCCTAATGAGACGAAGAGAAGTTTTGAAATAAGATGGCATCAAAAGGTAGGAACTCAATGAATGTACATTTTCCATTTTGCGCGTTCGCCTCTTAGAATACAGCTTTCTTTGAATGGAACATCCTCGGCTTTAGATGCCACTGTCATCACCCGAGTCGTATTCATATATACCACTTCATTCAAATACATATACACCTCGAGAATAAAAATTCTCTGGCCACCATATTTCATTCATAAAACGACATGTGTCATTATTTGTCATTTTTGTTTGCAACATTTTAAAATAACCTTTTATCTTAAGTCACATTCGTTTCAGATTTATCTCAAATATTTTCCACTTCATTAAAAAGAAAGAAAAAAAAATAATTATTATTATTTTTTTTTCTTTTAAATAATAATAATAATAACAACAAAATTTACAATTATAGAAAGGAAAAATTTTATTTGAATAATTTTAATTAAACCCACTTTTATTGAATTCATTTTTATTAAATTCACTTTCAGTGAATTTATCACTTTAAGTAATTTAATTATTATAACTGAATGGTATAAATAAAAAAGACCATTATAAATCTATTCAAAAGGTATAAATTTAAATTTTCCAGAAAAAAAACATTTAATCATTATCAAGTTAAAAAAAATCCCCTATCAATTCAATAGCAAAACAAAATTGTATAATGTACGATAAATTATTATTGATATTTAAATCTGTATAAGGTATATATATTTATAATTTTTGTCTGGTATTAATAATTGTATTATATGAAAAGAAGAAATCAAGTGGAAAAGTTCAATAAAACAATTATGTGTCTAATTTGAGAATAATGGTTTTGCGCTTTTTATAATTAAAAAGAAAACAAAAAAGAAAAATTTTTTTTCCAGATATTTAATGCATTGTTTGCTATCGTTGTCTACCACTTATGCTTGATTACACAATTTTATCATCAAATAATCTAATATAATACCTATGTATAGATAACGAAGCAATTATGAATCAGTGGTCGAAGTGCAAAGTATGATGAGGGAAATTCGATAAACGTGTGGGTTTCTACTTTTTTAATAAACAATAAATCAAATTATTGTCTCCGCATTGTATATACACATTGATAAAATTTCATTTCATACCATGTTGTCAACGGAAAAGTACAAATGTCTAAAAGTTTCCTCAAATCTAATTTTTTTCACTCGTGAAATTTTTTTTTAATTCTATTTTTGTAATTTAATTATTTTTTTAGTTTTACAATTTTTCACTCTATTGTGAAAAATGTAAACTGGACAAAGTAGAAAAGTGGCAGAACTAAATTGTCAATGCTTTTAATAATTACCAATTTTAATTACTACTAATTTAAATAACTACTAATTTCAATTTTTAGTGATTTAAATTATTACTAATTTTAATCATTTCTAATATTAGTCATTATTTATTTTAATTAATACTAATTTTAATTATTACTGATTTTAATTAATAATTAATTATTAATTTTCTGTATGAGTAATTTTAATTATTATCATAAAATTTTACAGATTATTATAAATTCTAATTATTAGAACAATACTAATTTTAATAATTATAATTATTAACTCGATCCTAATTATAATTATGATTCATTAACACTATACTAATTTATAATAATTTTAAAATTAACACAATCCTAACTATAATAATTACAATTAGAATAAAAAATAAAATTTTAATAATCGTAATTGAAATATTAATAATAATAATAATAATTGTATTCGTTAAACAAATAGTAGTTATTTGTAAACAAAAACTATAATAATAAAGTTGATAATATCGATTATTCTTAAAAAATATTATTCTAAATAATATTATTTAAAAAAAAAATAATTATGCAAATTAAGAAAAATCCCACAATTTTAATTGTCACGCTAAATTTACTTGCGAATATAATTTTAATTCTCCATATCGCGCGCGCATAATGATCATATTTAGTTAATGAATCAAAGCTTCGTGACATTGCTCAAGTGGAATCAATGACTGAATAATGACTATCATAATGTTATTGATATACAAATTTCAATTATGTCTACTTCGTGCCTAAGAATCATTTTCAAATAACTCAAGTGCTGATTAAAATAATAATGATGTTTTTGAACAATTTTCTCTTTTTTTCAATATCTATATTTATAGAATTTTTTTAGAGGAAACTTATTAAATATATGCATAAATATTTACAAAAAGAAATATTGTGCAAGTATAGCGGATAAATATTTACAAAAAGAAAAAATTATATATGCATAAAGTATTTTTCTTTAATATTCAATATATGAGACTTAATGAAAAAAAATTTGCATATTAATTTTTCAAAGTTCGATATAAAATTTAGATTTTTTTTCAAAATTTCAACAGAAGATTAATTTGAAGACTCTGAATTGACGAAAAGAGGAAGAAGAAAAATTTTTTACAATGAGAAACAAATTTTGTTTTGTTCTTTTTTTTCTTTACTCAATTTTACATCAAGAAGTTTCATCATCAATTATCAAAGGTTAGATTGAAATATGTGAATAATAATTGTGTACCTATTAATAAATAAAATAAATAAGTCTTAAAAATAGAAATAAAAAATTAATATAAATAAAGTTAAAATAGAAAAGTAAACGAAAAATAAAAGAAGTAAAATATAAATAAAACAAGTAAATAAAATATAATAAAAATTAAATAAATAAAATTAAATAGTTTATCTTTGTAAATAAATAATAAATAAAAATAAAAAAAATACCTATAAATTGTTAACTTCACTATTGCTAATAAAATAACACAATATTTATCTGAATTATTTCAGCCTGCTTTAGAGATTTAGACAAAATTTATTATTCTGGACATTATTACAATCCAGATACAGACGAATGTGTAAAATTCTTTCAACATTACTTTAAAATAAATAAAAAATATGAAAATGAGGAAAAATGTCTTCAAAATCGTGATCCTGGTATGTAAATTACAATAATTACTTGAATTACAAAAAAAATAAAATTAAGGAAGTGTATAAAAACAGAAAAACATTTCGGTCAATTTACTATTATTTTGTAAGTGGAAATTTTAAAAATGAAACATTTCTAAATCAGTTTTTATGAATTAATAATTTGTTTCGTATTTAATGTTTTTCATTTTTATTTTTAGTATTATTAAATATTTACAAAAAAATGCTACTATTACAGATTACTTCTATCGCCTTCAAGATACTTATCAATCTGATTACTATTACGATAAAACAACAGGCGAATGTTCTGAATTATTTTATTCTCAATTTTTACACACACCGAAAAATTCATTCTCTTCAAAAAAATTATGCGAAATTACTTGTCTATAACAATATCAAATTTTGTCATTTTTAGTGAATTATTTATTCTCTTGGTCAATTTTAATATTTATTAGTTATAATTTTTATATATTGTACTAGTTATTTAAATATGTAATTATAATTACAACTATTTTGTTCGTTACAAAAAAAATAAAAACAAAAAAAATAATTACTTATAGTAATAATAATTACAATTATCATTTAGTTGAATATATAAAAAATATTAATAAATATTGTAAATCAATAAATATAAATTATTTCATTTTTGAATTTTTTTCTTCCGCACTTTATTTAAATAAAACCTGTAGATTATATAAATAAAATGATACAAAAAAGAATTGAAATAATTCAAGTCGAATTTCTCTGGATTATTCTTGAATTAAAAAACAAAAGAAAAATAAAAAGATAAACAAAATGAGAATCAAAAAAAAAAAAAAAGAATACTGAGTTTCATTTCAATTTCAGTGATTGGATTCTATTTTCTGGTATAGGTTGAAAGTTTAATGCATGCTAGGAAGGTAGGCTTGTTTGCTTTCGAGAAAATTGCTAACGCATGTGAAGCTTGTGTATCGAAACGAAATGTAATTTGGACGTAACCACCTTTGGGACCATCCAGAAACTTACTCTCTTTCTCTCTCTTTCTCTCACACACTCTCTTTTCTCTCTTACACTCCAGCTTTGACCAAAGACCTGCAAAAACTCTCCAAGGACTGTGGAGACAAGCCTCCCGCTTTCGAAAAATCAATCTTTTCGAGCTGACGGGCAAAAATTCAATTACATTGAATTATATTGTCCCCATGAAAGACAAAATTCAATCAAAAAAGAAAAATTTGTTTTTCACATTCCAAATGTTATATTCTTTTTGTTGACATTGCAGAGAAATTTTATTCGAAAAATGTCGATTTTTTGGAAAAGAAAAGAAAATACGAAATCAAATTTTAGTAAAAGAAGTATTGTTAGAAAAATTTTTTTTGGGATATTTATACTTTTAATTTAATTTATGTATTTTTTAAAATTATTTTCATTTGGTATTTTTACTGATTTCAATTGAAATTATTATTATGGTGAAAAAAATTTTTACATTATTGTCAGGATACGAACCATCGACTACCGGTACTAGAGTCAAGAGTGCTATCCACGAGACTATGGTACACACCTTTTTAATTTTAATTCAGATTAAATTAATTCTCGTTCTAGTTCTAATTGTACTGTAAACCTATTAAATCCTAATTTTAATACAGACCTAGACGACTGTAATTCTACTTTAGATCTAATAAGTCCTAATTCTATTATTGATCTAGACGATCCTAATTCTACTGGGACTAATTAGTCCTAATTCTATTACAGATCTATTTAATTCTAATTCTAGTGGGACTTATTTGTCCTAATTCTAATACAGATGAAGTTAACGATACTTTTAATTCTATCGTGGAAAAAATTCTAATTCAAATACGAACCAAATAGTTTCTAATTCCGAAATAGACCTAATTATTTCTAACCCTACTGAACCTAATCACTGCTAATTAATAGATTAATACAGATGAAAGCAATTTTTGTTCAAGTCTTAATTTTATTGTAAACTAAATAAATTATAATACAGAACTGGTAGATTCTAATTCTACTTCAGACCTAATATCTCCTAATTCTAATACAGATCTGTTTAATTCTAACTCTACTGGAGTTAATTAATTCTAACTCCTATACAGATCTTGTAAATTCTAATTGTGCTTTAGACCTAATAAATCCTAGTTTTAATTCAGATATATTTAGTTCTAATTCTATTGGGATAAATAAATCCTACATTAGACCTAATAATTCCTCATTCTAATACAGATCTCTTTATTTCTAATTCTAATACAGATCTATTTAATTCTAATTCTACTGAGACTAATTAATCCTAATTCTACTAGGAATAATTAATCCTAATTCTACATTGAACCTAGTATGTCCTAATTCTAAGACAGATCTATTTTATTCAAATTCTACTAGGACTGTTGAATCCTAATTCTAATACAGACCTGTAGTCAATTCTTCTTATACTAGGACTAATAAATTCTAATTCTAATCAAGACCTAATCATTCCTAACTCTGCTGGACCTAATTTTAGAGCTAATAAATACAGATGAATGTAATTTCTGTTCTAGTTTTAATTTTATTGGAAACTAAATAAATCCTAATTCTAATACAGAACTAGTAGATACTAATTCTATTTTAGACCTAATAAGTCCTAATCCTAATACAGTTCTATTTAATTCTAATTCTACTGGGACAAATAAATCCTAATTCAATTACAGATAAATTTACTTCTGCTTTTAGTTCTGATTCTATCGTGAAACAAATAAGTCCCAATTCTACTTTAGACCTGATAACTGCTAATTCTAATATAATTCTGTTTAATTCTAATTCTACTGGGAGTAATTAATCCTAATACTAATGCAGAACAAGTCGATCCTAATTCTACTAGGAATAATTCATCCTAATTTTAATGAAGACATTGGCGATTCAAATTCTACTTTGGACATAATAACTCCTAATTCTAATACAGATTTATTTAATTCTAATTATACTAGGACTAATTAATCCTACTCCTAATAGTCCTAATACAGACCTGTAGTCAATCCTAATTCCAATAGAACTAATGAATTCTAATTCTAATAAAGACCTAGTCAATGCAAATTCTACTTTAGACCTAATAAATCCTAATCCATCAATAAAAAATTACTGCTAATTAATATAGATGACAGTAATTATTTATCTAGTACTAATTCTATTGTAGACTAAGTAAATCTTAATTCTAATACAGACTTAATAATTCCTAATTCTAATACAAACCATAATTAAATCGAATTGAGTTTGGACCTAATCAATAAATCCTAACACAAATCAAAATTAATTATATTTTTCCTTATCAGTAAATCAAATAAATGCTTTTTCTAATCCACACTTAACCAATCCTCACTCAATCGACTATATACCTAGTGAATAGATTTCGTAGAGAATAGAATTGTCTACAAATAGAAAGAGTAAATGAATAGAGAAAATTTGTAAATTTTGTTAATTTAACAGTTTGTGAATTACAGAAGCGCAAGTAAAAAACAATTTTAACCAAAAGATCTGCAACAAAGACGCATGAAAAATGATCCCTTTTTGTACAATTAGACGCAAGTTGTCGTCATTTGACAAAACGGCGACAAATGCGCGCGAGTGACATTAAAATGTTTGAAGGGAAGACGCGAGGCAAGGCACTGTCATAAACTCCTTGGAAAGTGCCGATGGTCACGGTTATTCTGGGCCGTAAAGCAACTTTAGATTTCACGAGGGTACATTTTCTTTTCACTTTATTATATCCTTCCATCTCTGCCCAATCTCGTTTACGATATCTACCTTAAGGCGATTGAAAGACCTATCGTAGAACACACACACACACACTCACACAAAAGTTTTACTTCATGGAATCCAAAGGGCTGTCTCTCTTTCTCTATATATACTTTCAGGATCATCACTATCATCGGCTTTCTCATTTCTTTATCGAACTTTCTTTTTTTTTCCTCTCCTTCCTACCGACTGCACTTTTTCCATAGTCTTCCATTTTGTCATACGCTTTTCATTTCACTTTGAATTTTATTTATTCCTCTCCACTTTCATTCAGGAGAAATGTACTACCCTACATGTCGAGTGTAAGTTTACGAGACCCCCGCGGATCCGCTCGTCTCTCATATTCTTCTCGACGTAGAAACTCATGGGAATGAATCTCTTGTATCGTTGATATCTCTTGTATGTATATGTTTATTCTCTATATATGTATTGCCACTTTCTATATACGGTATATTCCTGTAACCGAAACTTCGTGATCAGAATAACGGGTAAAGTGAGATCTTAATCCTACGCGAAGACGTGCCAACGCGTTTTTCATTCAGAGCACACGGGCGAGCCTCGTGACGAGAGCTAGCTAGCTAGCAAGCTGGAGCTGCAGAAATTCACGTGCTTCATTGGAAAAGATTCTTTATAGCTTATATGTCTCGTAAGGATTAGATACGAGAACTGAACACACAACTAGTTTCACTGGAAAATTCAACTTTTCGATAAAGAATTACATTTCAAACATGATACTAAAAATCGTAATGATAAAAATATTTATCGTATTTTGATAGTGGTTTAAAGATTCGTTGAGCAATTTCGTTCGGCTAATTTATTTCTATTACAATTTGTATTAAAAAAAGTAAAATTAGATTCAGTGTTAATTTAATTCTGGGTATTAGAAAACCAATTCCTGCGCAATTCTATATCTAAGGAAGCAATACAGAATTGCAGCAAAATGAATTAGAGAATACTGTCCAGGGCCATAAAGTCCAGAGGACTAGAAACGATCATTGCCGCATCATTACAATGCTCGGACCAACACTCAATTCCTGCGAGCCATTGTATCAAAATGGAGTTTATCTGCATGGAACCACATGTTATTGTTGTCTACTTTATCCAGCGGTTGCTCGTTCGCATTCTGTGATATAATAACCGGCACACACACACACATACACACACACCTACCGACAATGCTTTAATCCGGCAACGAAGCTTCGAGCACAAAAGGCATGAGCTACGGAAGTAAGCTGATTAGGAAACACCCTTCCTTCCCCTTCTCCTCTCACCTTCACTCTCCTCCTTTTGCACTCCTATATTCCGCAGTCTCATGCCGCCGGGAGGCTTTCTCATCTTTCTCACTTCCTGCCTTCATTCTTCGGACCCACTCTTTTAGCCCACAACAACAACAGCAACTGCTCGTATCACATTTATAGCCCCCTGATATATCAAAGTATTATATCTTTAGTTCTCTCTAAGCTGGCAGAATTTGGAGGCACCTGATGAGTTTTACATTCACTCGCTCAATTCTAAATATTGTGCCATGCATTATATGAAAATTTTGATCGAATGTAATTTTTCATCTAAACTGTGCAAGAATTCCCCTCCTGGTACTCTTAGTACTAATAATAATAGACCGAGGACACTTAAACTTATTCTCAAGCCTATCTTGCAATCAAAACATCTTATCCTGT